TAAAGGGTCACTGAGGGCCAGTGGATTGCAGTCATATGTGGGGAAAGCCATCTGGCCAGCAATTAATTTTCGAATAATGCAATTGGACAGCCAAAGAATATGGCACAAAGTATCGTTTTATAAGAGCAAAGGCTCATCAGAAGTTGACTTAGCATTATCTTGCCAGATTCAATATGGACTGAGGCTTTTAAGCGTTCAAGGTCTGTCATTGGACACTTTTGGGTGTAACAAGCAAGGGTCACCTGATGAGTGTGCAAAAGAGAACTTGAGCATAGTGATGTGCAGCACCTTGCAGAGGAGCCGGAATTCTGTGATGGAGCATATGCTTGGCCTGCAGAAGACCCACGGACCTAACCCCTGGCATCTCCAGACAGGACTGAGAGAGATCCTGATCTGAAACCTTGGAGAGCAACAGCCGGTCCAAAAAGACTGTACTGATGGAGTGATGCTGTGACTTCATGTAAGATAGTTTCCTATGTTATGGGCTTTATCTTGTGAGACATTGGTTTCTTAAGACAAAAGAAAGAACACTTAAGAACATACTCAATTATATTAGGGAAGAATATTTAATGTGAAACGTTTCATGCTAAAAATAAAGCTTGTGCTTCAGTGAGTAAACGAACTCCAGTGAGTAAACGAAAAAAAACCTTAGTTTTTCAAGCATGGCTTCTTGATGGACAATTGCAAATAGGGAAAATGTGTCAGCTAGATGATTTATTGTAGATATTTTGCCCAGTTCTTAGCAGGATGTGACACCTGGTTTTCCATAATGGATCATTTTTCTTTGGGTGATTCTTCTGGAAATTGTAATTTCTCAAACTTCACAGAATCTATCATGTCATATATCACTGCTTCCTTTTTATTCATATTATAATTACTAAAGCTTCACAGCACATATTGACTTCATTCTGAAGTGTTTTGTGCAAACGGTTTCTCTTCATTTTTAGCATTCATGGATCCCCATGTCTCAACCAGAAATCCCAGAGACAGGTTTATTTTTAAAAGGCTATTTGAAACAAGGTAATTGAAAGACCATAAATCAATCGACATTCACTCTCAGCTGAATCAAGGATCATCTGTCTGCTTCTCTCTCTCAAACACACACACATATCTTTTCTCTTTTTGAATATATGATCAGCGCTTCAAAAAAGAAGAAACAGTAAATGGGTCCATATTTACCCAGATGGATCAAAATCCATGAAGAGAACTTGCTGGAAATGTGATCAGCAAGATATCCCAAAAGCTCATGTTTTTCCATGTTTATCATGGCCTTCCAACTATTCTTATCAATGAGCATTCAGAATACTCTTGTTACAGATACAGTTTTATAGGAACAAACGATATGCAACAAAAACTCCTATTCTTTGTAGAGGTGCTAAGATGATAGAAGGCATAGTAGAGACCACAGATGTGTATTTGTCAGTATTGTACACGAACTTGGAGCCTCCTGCTCTCAGGTTTTGCATTATTTTAAACAATGCACTATTTTTAAATAGTTGCCTTGTGCTTAAAACATATAATCACATTGCAGCAGTTATTGTGGTAAGTTTGGGGATATAGGCATTGATTTGTGAGTATCCATTGTTCTACTGGAAACAATGACAAGGAACTGCACTTCTTCCCCAGCTCCTGACATGTGCCCTGGGTAGCCAAAATGTCTCTTCAGACCACAGTCTCATAATCATTCTTTGTGGGATTCAGCTGCCAATCTAAATAGGGGTAGAACCAAGAGTGCTTAGCTGGTCTTTCAGCTAGAAAATGACAGGCAGTTCTTACTTCTTTGTAATGTATTATAAGTCCCACAGTCTGCTAAGTGTGGAGTTATAGCCCAACCCATCTGCCCTTCCCTTCGCTTTGCATCTAATATCCATTTTCTTGATGATGGTTCCAAATGTGCTAGATTTGTGGAGCCAAATCTAGAAACCTGGAACTCTTTCAGAAGATTGGAGTGTACAATGCAATAATAATTTGGTGACTCTTTCCCCTGAGTCCTGTTTCAGTTAAATGCTCCCTTTCTACTCCAAGGGCCTTCTCCTGAAAATCCTCAACTTAATGTAAATCCTCAAAAAGCGGGAAGACGAATTCCTGGAAATGTCCAATTACAGCAGTGTCTGCTGTCTCCCTGACATTGCAAACCTATGCATGCCTATTGAGAAGTAAGCCCCATGGAGTTCAGTGGGACTTACTCCCAGGTAACCATGTATAGGATTTCTGCCTAAACTGTTCAATATATGTCCAGCCTGCCCCCCCCCCCGATTCTTCATCTTCCATCTAAAAAATCTACATATTGAAAACACAAGAGCTTTTTTCCTCTAAAAGTTGACTGAGAGGATTTTTGAAACCTTGTTAACTTTTTTAAAAGAAGCAAACGACGTGTGTTTCTACCTGTGGCATGCTAGGCTGTGCAGGACTGCTATGAATGCTGACCCTTTTTTCCATGGACTCCAGTGAGCTGCTGGAGGTAACTGGAAAGCCTCCCACTCTGAAAAAATAAACTTTGGCAAGCGGTATAATCAGCTCTGCATCAAAACAGACCTCCAAAGATGAGACAAAGAAGTGTGTGTGTGTGTGTGTGTGTGTGTGTGTGTTAGTTAACCACCAGGCACTCCAAATGCCTTTGTATAAGGTGTGCCAAGCACGGAGGGCTGCTGACACCAACTGACAACTTCACGGGAAATGGCATTCAAGGTTCATTCATCAAGGGAGCTTGCTCTGAATTGGCTTTATCAGCTGCCAAATATCAACATTGCCCACCGCCCCCCCCCCCAAATGCAGCAGAGAGCTTTTTAAATAAAAAAATCAGAGCTCAGGCAGCTCGGAGGGAACTGGAGAGGCTGCTGCCCAGGATGTTCTGATTGCTGCCATGTCTTTCTGCTCAAGGTTGAGCCATTTTCAGGCTCACTCTTTCCAGGCCTAGAGCAAACAGTCCGTAGTCTCTGCAAAACTGGGCTGCTTTAGATGACGCACACCGTGTGCCTGATAAAATGTCCAATCAGCAAGCAACCTGCTGAAGCTTAGCCTGCTAAAATAAATCTAGAATTGGGTCAAGAAACCCACATAAACTGCAAAACATGCAGATTGCATGAGCAGGGCACTCTCCCTACAATACATTTCTTGTGTGTTTTACTTGATACAATAGCTGTATGCTAAAAGTTAATGGGTTGGTTTACATGTTCACCACAGCCCTCCATGGCTTATTTAAACAAGGGAGTTTGAATCTACCAGAAGCAGGGTCTGCAGCAGGTTATTCTGGATCTAATGCTATTTCTCTCACCATTAGATCTTACTAATTCCCACTTACCTAACCATAAAGTAAAGGTAAAGGTTTCCCTAAAGTCCCAGTCGAGTTTAACTCTAGGGGGTGGTGCTTATCTCTGTTTCTTAGCCAAGGGAGCCAGTGTTTGTCCACAGACAGTTTCTGTGTCATGAGGCTGGCATGACTAAACACCTTTGCTATTACCTTCCCACCAAAATTGTACCTATTTATCTCATCCATTTGCATGCTTTTGAACTGCTAAGTTGGCAGGAACTGGGACAGAGCAACAGTAGCTCACCCTATCATCCGGATTTGAACTGCCAACCTTTTGATCGACAAGCCCACCACCGGTGTCCCTAACCTAGCCATAGCCTCAACAAAATTGCTCCCTGCCCCTGTATCCTTAATGATTTGCTGAATGAAGAAAACTTGGGATTAAATGGAGTGAATTTTAAAATGCAACACCTGGGAATCCCATTCTGCTCTGGTACTTAAATTCTTTAATTCTAAAAGTATCTTTTGCACCAACCAGGTTCTAACTGCTGGGTCGTGTGATTCCAGTAGAGGTAGTCCACACATGCCTGAAGTCTGCCCACCACTCCCCTAAGTTGCAACAATGCAAACACATATAACACTGTTGTCAATAATATGAAGAATGGGTTCAGAATGTAACCTATGGCCGTAACAAACAATTCTCAGTGGCTGCTCCAAAAGGCTGAAACAATAGGTAGACTTGCCCATGTTCAGATCAAAACATTTCCCCATATCCCTTTCTGGGGGCAATCCTAAGTATGTTCACATAGAAAAAAGTCCTATAATTACCAGTGTTCCCCAGCTGGTTATGCTTGCTGGGGCATGCTGGGACAAACCAGCTAACCATTGTACAGAGTGAGGCAGTCCAGTCAGGGAGCAAATGCCGGGAGGTGGCAGCAACGTACTGAAGTTTCATGCTGTGCACTGAACAACCTACCCTAAGCTATCCTGCTGCCTTCAGGTGTGGTGAGGGATGCTGTCCCATTGCCAGAGTCAAAGAAGGATTCACCGGCCAGTTGATTTGGATTTTCTATATGGATAGGAACAGTGTGCCATTGTGCTTTTTTCCTTTAGCAGCAAAATATTCTCAGCTGTCCCTGATACTTGGTGCTGTAGGACTTTTCTCTGTCTCAGCATGCATAGGATTCTGCTGTTCATCTTCCTATTGTGGTTGATATTTGGATTAACAAGGATTAAATTGGGAGGAGTTCGAAGGATCTATAAAGTAAACCCCAGTAGGTTCAATGGCACTTACTCCCAGATAAGTATGTGTTAGCTGACAAACGTAAGCCTGGGTTGGTTGCAATCCTTTGCTTTCACACAGAGCAAGAAGGTTAAACAGAGAATTTGACTAGGTCCAGAAGACACAGTAACCACCCACACTGAAGGGTTTTGTATGGACTAAGCGTGGGTTGTTGAAACATTTCTTATCACAGTGTCTGAGTTCAGCTATGTCAGCAAGCCATAGATTGTTACCCAAAAACAACCCATGAAGAGAGATCCCATGGCTTATTGTTTGTTATCTCTGCAGGCAACATGGGTTATCAGATATGATGGGCCATGTTTTAACAATAATGCATACTCAACCTGTACTGAATCCTTGAGTTTGGGTTGTCATGTTGTCTGAACCCAGCCAACAAAATAAACTGCCATTAAAAATGAAAATATTTTGTTTCCGTTTATAAGTGTCTTCTTGGTTTATTCTCCTCAGGTGGGAGATAGGAAAATGGAGCTCTTGCAGCCTTACCTGTGGTGTTGGATTACAGACGCGTGATGTCTTCTGCTCTCACCTTCTCTCAAGGGAAACAAATGAGACAGTGATTCTGGCAAATGAGCTATGTCATAGACCCAAGCCCACTATGGTTCAAGCCTGCAACCGTTTTGACTGTCCCCCATCCTGGTACCTTTCAGAATGGCAACAGGTAAAGTGTGTTTTAATTCTGACTCAGAAATGGGGAAAATCAACCCAGGTTGTACAGTGGATGGGAAAGGGGCACACATGAATTCCAAATTCCACTTAAAGGCAGCACTTTTATGCTTTGATTTCATACCCGCTGCTCACATACTCACCTCCCTTAGTCACTCTCAGAGACATGGGGTAAGCTTCACCCAGGGAGTTCATAGTATCTCTGTTCCTACTGGCATTTTTACACAAATAAACATATTTTAGCTAAAAAAAAAAGTTAATTGTATTCTTTTCCAGAGCTTTTGAGTTCTTGCAAAGAAAGATGGTCTGAATTAATTTGTCCTAAAGCTTAAATGTTCTTGGCAGAAGAACCCCTGATAACCATCAGTATGTTTAACATTTCAAATGATTAAAAGTACATACATATAAATTCAGATTCTTATTTTTAAAATGTTCCATCCTTAGGACAAAGTTATTAGGATGTTCACCTTGATTTCAGGCATTCTCTCATTCTCCTTGCCTCCCACCAAAAGAAAGTGGGTATCAAAATTCATTTGTACAAGCCCTTTTTGCAGAAAGTAGCCAAAAAAGGGTTGCATTAATAAATCTTTTTTGATTTTCATTTTGTTGCTGAAGGGAAGGGGCTTTTTATAGGGTAGATTGTAGCTCTCTTTTTAGAACATTCATTAAAGTTCTGTGGCCCAACATGGCCCATAATTTTTTTTAAAGATCTCCTTCATCCACCCTCCTCCAAGTCAGTATTCTACCAAACCACTATTCAACCCTGAAAGAGCCTGTAGGGTTGTGAAGGGGTTTGGTCTCACCACCTGACAATGTACGTTAGCCATTCAAAGATAAAATAATACTTTAATGCTGAGGGTTAACTTGCCTGCCATGAAAGTGTAATTGCTCAGTTAAGTCATCTATCTGTACTGTTCTGACACCTGGAGAGAAGAGTAATTCTACCACCCACCCCAGTTTCTGGCAAGGTACAGAAGGATGGTGAAATCCTTCTCACTCTTTAATAGGATCGTGCAAACAGGCAGATGACCAAGAGATTGCATGTACATTGTGACAGGGAAATGGACAATTGCAAAATCCATCTTGAGCTGTCACTATAACTTTGGAAACAGAAAAGCATCTTCTTTCCTAAAAAGGCTACTGCATGGGTAGCATATTGCACCTACTTTTCTCATAACACACATACAAACCCAAGTAGCAATTCTCTGACAGACTGTCTGTGAAGTGTGGCAAAGTTTTTAATGATCCATTCTAGCCCCTTCCCATCCTGGTCTCAGTTTTTCATCTCTGGTCCTCTCCTTCAGCTAAAGGTAAGCTTGATCTCCTATTGTCTCTTTCAACAATTGAAAGCAGTTGCTTACTTGGTTTTGTTCAGAGTTAACAGTTCTGGGAGAGTGAGAATTTAACCCTTTCCTCACAATGTACTTACCAGCTTAAATCACCCGCTGAATCTGCTAGTAGCTGCACATGGGGAATAAGTGGACTGGGTTGCAACACCAGGCCTTCCATCAAGATTACAGCTCCAACTCAGACTGGAGCCTTCCAGGACTGCTTTTAATGAAAGAAGAAAACTCCTTCCAGACTTTTGTTATGGTTCTCCACATGTTCAAAGAATGTGCATCATACCAGGAGGTTCTGTCCCAGCTGGGCATACATTTTGACACATCCCTGGTAGTTCAGCTAGAGAAGTGCCACTGTGCATGGTACTGAGGGTCAGAATACATCTAAAGCAAGAGTGGAAACTGTGATCTCCCAGCATTGCATGTAAGCTCTTGGAACATCTGGAAGGAGATGATGCTGTGTGGAGATCTGATTGGAGGTCTCCTTATTGAAGTACAGTTTTTTCTCTAAGTGCCGTCCACATCTTTCCATTAAGCACACTGGCTCTGTGACACAGAACTGGTTCACCCGTGGCTGTACACCACATTTCTTCGTCACCATTTGCTGACTTCTTGTTGCTGTTACATGCCATCATCTCCAACTTGTGGTCATTCTGTGAATGATTGCCCTCCAGAAGGTCCTGTCCTTGACAGCCCTGCTCAGCTCTTGTTCACTCAGGGCTGAGTCTTCCTTTATAGAACTGATATTTGCTGTCTTACAGCTGCATATATGTGGACTGATTCCACTAAACAACTCTCCTAAAAAGCATAGAAGTAGAAAAAGGGAATAACATAAAAAAGAAAAAAGATGACAGGAATCCCTGTACTGGAGTAACATGAGCTTTTTAACTCTGGTACATACACATGTTTCAGGGTACTGCAGTGATCGAGTAACAAACCAATAGATATTAACCTGCTAGCATCCAAGCTGATCCCCGGCAGCCAGCTGCCTTTGCATTCCTCTTAACAAGCGTGCCTGTAGAAGGTAATGCTGGAAGCAGGCCTGAAGGGCCACAGTGGCTCAAGTGAATTCCTGCACAAGTTTATACTCCAGTTCCTAGCCTGTATGGGTAGAAGATGTATGTGTGTGTTGGTGTGTATGTCTGTAGGAGGAGATTTATATTAAGGAAGGAGGATATAGTTCTTTAGAAATTAATCTCCCTTATTTACATTGACTCAAATAACCCTTTCTCCTTTATTTTTGGAAGCAGAGTGCACAGCAGTCACCAGGAGTCATAAATATAAAGGGCTATGTGGTTCCTTAATGGTTTATTATACTAACCTTACAAACCAATTATTTAGCTCAGCTGCAGATTGGAGACCCAGGGTGAAGCTTTCTCATGAATTATAGGCACACACACACACTTGGGTTCATGTCTGTGTGCGTAAGATTTAATTCAATATTTCTGTTGTACACACACATACAACATATATTGTCATGTGAAATAATACAATGGGGGCTTGGACAATGGATGGGAAAGTTAACCTCGAGTTGAATACGAGGCACTCTGAGCAAAGAGAGTGCTCCTGTCGTGCTGTTTGAGTTACTTACACTCTTCTCACAAATGGCCCATGTCTAATGGCTGCCATCTTGCACACCGGCAGACTGCTCCCATTTCCTTTCCTGAGACTGAAGCCACCTGCCACGTGACACCAAGTTGCTGCCAATGTCAGCAAGGTCTTAAGTTTCTGCTGTTGCTGTCGTTCTTCAGTGTTCCCAGACGTGCAGGGGTGGCATCAAGAAACGGGAAGTGCTCTGCAAGCAGCGCATGGCGGATGGAAGTTTTCTGGAGCTTCCGGAAACATTCTGTTCCACCTTGAGGCCAGCCTCCCAGCAAGCCTGCAAAAATGAGGACTGCCTTCCGGAGTGGCTTCTTTCAGACTGGACACAGGTAGGGTAACAGTGCAAATGAAGTCCCAGTGTCTTTGGCAGAGAACCCCTGTCCGGTTGTTGTTGTTGTTGTTGTTGCATACATTATTATGTCAGTTCACATCTCCCCATCTTGGTCCTTGCAGGCTTATTGATGCCATTATGCAATTTTTTAATTTGTCAATTGTATTCCTCACTAAAGATTTGAAAAGTGTAAATTGTATTGAAACTGAATATAAGGAAATCTGTATATTCAATTCTGTCTATGCTCTGGAAGCTGAGGCCATTGTTGTATTTAGTCTCTGTCATGCTGATTTGGTTGTCCCTTTTAATATTATTAAAGTTTGAGCTATAGTGTGATGAATCAGTCATCACTAGTGCATGAACAGACATTTGATGCGTAACTGCCAACCTTCTAAAATACAGATTGGAACGGATGGCTTACAAACTCAGATAACCT